GATCCGTTAAAGGCATTTAGAGAAAATCAACGTAAATTACTGGTAAATTTAAAATCAAAATCGTATAATATAAATCATTAATATAATTATAAATTTTTCTCTTATTATTACTTTGATATTAAAATATTTTAGGAGCAATTGGAAGAAGAAAATAAAACCCAAAAGGAAAATGGCAAACACCTTACCTCAAGATGGAGTCCTTCTTTTCTACGAAATCGCTAGTCAATTTAAATTACGTTATAATATAAGATATTTGCATAAAAACTAAATATGAGAGATTACATTCATCATACCCTTTCGTTCAAAACTGTTCTTACCAATAGTAAGTGTACAATTTTTATTGGAAAATGAATAAACTATCAGTAAACCATTACCTTACTTTACATCTTATATAAACATTAGTTTTCGCGAATATACCATATAAAAATATTAACGAATATATATTGTATAGAAAATGTTCAAAAATATGTACAGTTTACAAATTATAATACATTATCATTATGATGTAACAGCATATTGATGAAATATAAACTTTATATTATAACAATATTTAAACAACAACATTACTTTGCACTCTTTTTTCTTCTTTTGATTGATTTCGTTCTGACTTTAGGTAAAAATGGTTCTTCTGTATTATCAACATCATTTAAATGTCTACTATTTGGATTTTGAGATACACTTATTAACTCCTGCGTATTGTCTGGTGTACCCATATATTCCGTTTCTTCTGGAGCAGATGAAGCAGCTTTATCATTATTCATCTCTAACCAATTTAAAACTTTTTGATGAGGAGTTGCTGACAACGAAATGGAAACTTGTTCAGATATTCCCCATACAGCTAAAAGTTCTGGCGCCAAAATATCCTCATAAGAGTTTAATTCTTCAATAGATTTTCTCCAACTTTGGTCAAAAGTATCATCCAATTCTTCGTGTTGGTCTAATTGTAAATGCCTATTTTTAAAACCTAAAATTCAATTTCGCAAAGTTTAGATATATATACACATATATTCCATTGATCAAATTCCTACTGATAATAAATAATTTATTAACTTACTTTTATATACGTGTTTCATATCACATTGACTTGTCATAGTAAGAGGTGCAATTGGATTATCTTGTGTCATTAATGCATGTTCCCAAGCATTTAATGCAGAAATTGCTCTGACTTTGATTTCAGAATTTTTGTCAAGTATATCTTCGTGAGTAATACATTGATAAAATACATCACCTATAAATTATATTTGAACACATTAAAACAAAATTTATATTTCCAAATACAAAACAGCATTTCTCTTTAAAAATATTATCTCATACCTATAGAGGTTTGTACAAAGAAGAATACATCTCCTTTTTGATTAGTTACTAATGTAGAACCAGCTTTACATAACTCTAATCTATTTTTCATATAAGGATCTAAACATAAACCTTGCAATTGCGCATCATTCAATGTTTCCTTTATACTTGGTAAAGTTTTTGGTAAATGATAAGAATGAGGACTCTCATAAGTCCATGTGTTTAAAATCATTGAACTTTCTGCAGCCAATGGACTTGATAAAACAAGGATTTCCTCTTTATTCCTACAAATAAATGCTTAATAATTGTCAAGTTGCCATAATACAATGTGATATTGTTATTATTACTAACCGATTGATAGTAGAAAGTAAAAGAGGAGTACTTCGAAATTGATGTGTCCACTTCTGGGTTACGCATTTTTTTGGAGAACGATTATCACATAAAAAAAGATTGTGATATGTACCTATGTATCTACATGAGTTATGTCTACTAGCTTTTTCTACTGATAAACTTTCACATTGTTCCAAAAATTGCTTAGGACAAAGCGATAATGATGGTTGATCAAAAGGTGTCTACGAAATATAAAATTTTTGGCATATACATAAATTCAAGTTAATAATTCTAAGCTGAAAGATTTATTAAATTATTTATTAGAATTACCCTAGTGTCAAGATAATGAAGGCAGCATCTGTCAATAAATACCAATACATGTGCATCTAGTAATTGATATTTAATACTTCCCCAACAATCGTCCAGAACTTTAGAATGAACTACTTTATGACTTGTAACATATTTTCTATCAAATATATAAAAAAAAAAATTATATTTTAATAAATTATGTATTATTTAATTCCGATATGCACTTACTTTTTATTAACGTTCCATAAAGATACTGTGCGATTTACATCTACTGTACAGAAATAATCTTCACTATATGGGCACACTTCTCCACTAACATATGGTAGTGTTGAAGTTTGTTTATGGAATTCATATAATTCTACTTTATTTTCTCCTAAAATAAGCTTATACAGTATACAATGATTCTTGTATCTACCTAAAATTATACCTAAGAGAAAGAAACAAAAAAAAAAAGAATTTTAATTTAGAGTAAATTTTACTCTAATTAATTATAGAAACATAATATATTTTATATTTATTATATATTATATATTATATTATATTTATTATTATATTTTATATTATAAATTAACGTATCACTTTTTTAAATTACGAATTTATATTTTGCATACATTTGTCACCAATAATGTTAGGCCTCAGTTCATATAATGTACCATCAAGATTAAGTTTATCAGACTTTTGCAATATTGGTTTCCATAATGCATTTTCCATAGGCATTAATGGAGAAGCAACTGAAATCATTTACATATACTTCAAAATAAAGAATCAAATTCTTTATATGTTACAAAAATATAACTTGTGCAAAAGTTGTACCTAATTCCCCTACATAAGGATAGATTAAAATAGTTTGATCACCATATGTAACATTAGTTAAACTTCCTCCTGTATAGTACCAGTTGTAATCCTATTATTATAGAAAATATCATAAGAATTTTTGACATATAAATTTAAATAATTTAATATATTTTGTTAATAATATATTTACCCCTTTTAAATAAGGGTCAGGATCTAATTCAACAAGTTCAGCTATTTCTGCAACATATCTAGGTAATACAGTACTATTTAAGTTATCACTATTTTTGAACCATTTTACTCCCTTTTTAGAAATAGGTCCAAAATCTATAAGATATGAATATATAAATATTTAAATCTAATATATTAATAATAAAAATATATTGTCAATTCTATATACCATTTTTATGTTTTTCATAATAATCTAAAATTCTATTTATGTCACTTTTCATATAGGATTTAACTGTAACAGGTTCCAAAGTAGGATCTTCTTCGTGTAATACTAAATTTCAAAAACATAATAACAATTGACAAATACAATTCTAATAAGATATATATATGTATAGGATTAAATATAACATATTTCATTACAACGTTACCAGTACGTGGTAATTTAGCTGGAGGTAATAATGGTTTTGGTAAATCATGTTCGTAAGGAAATTTTTGATATAATTGCTTAATATAATTCAAATCCCGATCATCAGTACCAAATGATGTATTTAAATTATATCCTGGTACCATATGATGATCATATTTTTGTAAATATCCTGATTTTAATCTTTCCTGTAAATATCTTTCAGCACGTTGAAATGTTTTGGAGATCAAATCACTTCTTTCAGCCATTGTGTTTACAATGCTTTTAGGTTATATAGTTCTAATTATGTTAGTTTCATCACAATAATATTTATTAAAAAGATCTATTTCATTTATCTTGATAATATCCTCAATTCCTTCACTAATTTTAAATAACGAATAAAAAATGTCGTCTTTATTCTTTAACTTGAAATTATTTGATCTCTGATTAAAACTATTACACTGTGCAGTTGACACGTGCTTCTAATTACGCATGCGTATTAACCATTCTTTTTATGGCAACTAATAGAACGGTATTCCTCAACCCGGTAATCCGCAAAACGCTTATATAAATTTATTAATATTTATATTTTCTTAACCTTTCACATTTAGACTAATTTTACTAAACTTATCTTTCTATCTAAAAATTTCTTTGGGCTGTTGGTAATTTTATTCATAGAATTTATAGAAAATAAATTAAGAAAAATTATTTTAATATTATTCTTTGGTTTTCTTCAAATTTTGTTTTATCATTCTTTAAATAAAAAAAAAAATAAATAAATAAATGTACCAAAGTAATTATATTTTATTATAAAAATATTACAATTATAAATCTAGTCTATAATAAAAAACGCACTCAATTAAAAAACATAATTTGAGCTTTGCAATGCTTTTATTTGGTTACTCCCTTTGCGTACATTATTTCGCATTGAGAATACATATTCTTCTGGTTTTCGCCAGCATCATTCATAAGTTACACTATTCTTTCTTTCATTTTATCTTCGTAGCTCTTACAGAAGTATAATCATTCTTCAATAACACTTTTTGCATAGTTTGCAATACATTCAACAATGTATGCATATTTTCGTAATTCACTTTCGCATATGTACATTCTTCGTTATCAGATTTCTTCGTAGGGAGTACAGGAAAAGCATAGGATAAAGGGACATTTGGAGCATAAGGAGATTAATCTTCGGGAGAGTTAAATTATAATTAGGGAAAATACCATTAAGATAATTCATTAATAATTATAGAAAACAACAAGAAAATAGAACAGCACTTTTACGCCTTTATATCCAGTTTTGATGTGCAGTATTTGTATAAGTACTCCACTGTTATTTTTTCTTTTTCTCTGGTATTTTTTTCTCTTTGTAATTTTTTTCAATTTTCCAATTGTATATAACATATCTATCTTCATATCAAATAAACACACAAGAGCTGCATAGTGGATGAGAAATAAAACTGTTCACTAAAGTGACTATCGAAATCAAGAAGCTAATTTTCATTCAAAATTCACATTAAATGATAAAGAGACAAGCTACAAATGAAAACTTGAAAATTGCTACATCTCTTTTTTTTATCATCTTCAAACGCGGTGTAAGATATACGTTTTTTTTTTGCTTTTGTTCCTTTTCTTTTTATTCGTCATAGGGTTAATAATTATCTAAATGAACATTTAATATTCATTTCACCATTCTCTTTCGTTTAACACTTCTTTCAATTAATTGACAATGGAATAATCGTGCCTTCTTGGATACATGCATAACAAATTCCACATGCCAAGAGGTTCCATTGTCTCACACTTCTATTTTTGTCTTTATCTTGAAAAAAGTATATCTAAATTTGAAGTCTCCAGTCGTGTAACATATAAGCAGCTTGTATTATCCAGTTCACAAGGTAAAAGGACGTAAAACCGTCAGTGGCTGGCATCCTATGCTGCTACTGTGTCTTCTACCAGAAAAAATTATATTATGAAACCAATCAGTAAAGCATATTTACGTACATATTATAAAGGTAAATAAAGTATCAATTTCATTACATTAATTACTAACATATACCATATTCAGTTAAGCCTCTCTCTTTTCTAATACAGAAAAAGGAGTACACCATCAGAACAATAATGTGTGATCTTTCCAGATTCATAACTTATTTTATTATTACGTACCTGCCCTTAAACTTTATAGAGAAGGGAGGGCTAGCTGAATAAGGGTATAGAAAGTGCAACAAAAAATTACAAGAAGATACCCAGTCAATAATTTTACATATCCAGGTTTCTTAAATATTAGTTTGAGATTATTGTAATGTTCGTAGATACAACATAATATATGTTGATTAAATATTTGAGTTTGCTACATGTATATAATATTTAAAATAAATATTAAAAATTAAATTACCTTTTACGATCGTTATGCAAAGGTACATTATTTTGTACCCAGCCCAGCTGACTCAAAGAAAAGTAATCTTTTTCCGTCTTTTCTTGTTCATGAGCAATGGTCTCTTCTTCACTTTCGACCGGAGAAAAGTGAAAATGATCCTGTTCGGAGATAATTTTGCGTTTTATCGGAGACCGAATAGGCTCGGTTTGAACGCATTTGTCGCTTTGACGCACCCGGAATTTCAACGTTAAATTCGAAGATGTAGAAGGAATTGGCGAGTTACTTTCCCGATATTCCATGTAAGGACTCTCTCCACCAGGTAGATATAACAAATTTCCTGACTCAGACCTTCTATATGCAACTCTTTCTAATGCATTATTTACTGGAAAAGTAGTTCCATCAGCCCAATTACCATCGTCCTTTATAGGACGAAAATGTGTTCTAGCTGAAGTGAGTAAATCTTCGTCTGGTTCAGGAAGGCTATGTACCTTCAGATTTGAACGTGTTTCTTTGCGTGTTCCAATGGGAGTTTTACGTGGTGCAACTGGAAAGAAACAACTACCTGTCTGAGGACTATGACTCAAGGTAGTCAAATTGCTGCCAAGTCCTTTCCAACACCAAGGTCCATCCATAACCGTATCTGACCAGTTTACATTGCCTTCTATAATTATTTGTAAAAATAAATATATGTCTGAAGTAATTTTGCTAAATATTGTAGGGGAGTTTTAAGTGTCGAAAAGAGTAAATATAAATAAGTAAATAGGCATAGTTGTGTGTGTAAGTCCGTATGACTTTAGAAGGTTCTCGAGCGATATCGATGCTTTGTTTACAAGATCGAGTTGAACGTTAGGAAAATTCGAGAACGATTTGAAGGATGGTTCAACCCCCAGGGATGCAGGATGGGGGTGTGAACATATAAGGAAAAGGCTGTCACGCGTGGTTGTTACGTGTGGAGAACCGAAAGACGAGAGCGAGTGACAAAAGTGATACGATACGAGTGATTTAGAGAATGATTAGTGAATGATTGGCGAGTGTGAGAGATTGCGAATGGTTATTGTGTATTGATTATAATAGATAGAGATTTGAATAAAGAAATATCTTCTATATCTTAAGTAGTACTGGCAACACAGGGAAATTAGATATCCTTAGCCGGATACAGAGCGATTGATTTCCCTAAAATATTTTAAGCGTTTTTTAATTTTTCTAATATCTTACCTGATTTATTCTTATTACTACACTCCTCTGCATAATCTTCGATGCTGATTAAATCGAGATCCCATGGAATAAGCGGTGAGTCAATAACACGTTTCTGATGTGGTGTATCAGCAACATGACCATTATCTGCAGTGGATAAAGTAAAAGTTGTATCGGTAGTATCTGTCGGCCAAAGGGGTCCAGAAGGAATAGAAAGAGTAGGTGCTGCCCAGATAGAAGCTGTATCTTGTGCATTGCCAGGTCCTGAATTCCAAAGTGCTTCTAAACTTTCATCAAATTTTGCTTGCAACTGTGCTAATCTCAATTGATCTAATTCTAATTCACGCTCTTTTTCTCTCTCTCTTTCCATAGATTTAGCGAATCCAAAGCTCTCTTTATCTTCTCTTCTTTGAGTCTCAATGGTCTAAAAAGAAATATTTTATTGCTAGCATAAATATGAATGAATGAAAAAATTATCAATAAAAAAGATAATAATAAATAGCAGACATACAATTGGCATTTTTGTATTCTTATTCCAAGCCTTATTGTTGTTCTTATTATTGTTATAATTGATACTATTATCTGTATTGTTATTGTTATTATTGTTCCTAAAGGTCTTATCCTTTTTTTGAGAAGATGTTTTGAGGCTTGTAGATTGTAAGGCAGGAAATTCTGCGTAGTATCTGAGAGTCCTGTCGCGTGAAGTAAGAAATTCCAAATTTGTTTTAGATTCCCTATCTAATTTTGTGGATTCTTCTTTTTCATCGTGTGAACCTCCTCCTTCCAAATCTCTTAATTTCGTGCACAATTCATCAACTAAAGTTTCTACACCGCATTTCTAAATAAGAGTTAATTGCTTTTTGAAAAAAAATATTCTTTTCTGTTTTGGTACATACTCTAATGAATAATAAAATTTATCTTACGTTCTCGGCAGCACTTTTAAGACATTGCACAACAGCTTGTCTTTGCTCCCTCTCTCCTTGCGATGGCAATTTTGCTTTAGGCCGGGTTTGAACGCGACGTCCTATATTCTTATAAACGCTTACTGCCTCTTCTGGAGGACTTAGGGCCGAGTCGGGGCGGCGCAATAGGCTGAGCACAAAACGCGAGTACGCAACCGGGTCAATCCCCAATGCGTCCAAGCGTGTCTCAAGCCACTGGCGCAACTCCTCCTCGGCCCTTGTACCAAAGATCTTGTCACCTCCAGGGGACGCCGCTATCCCGACCAAATGCAATGCCGGATTCCTCATTCCCTTTTAATAAATTTCCACCTAGTCTCAGGAACTCTCACAAACTCCACTGCCACCAGGGTAATCATCTTTTTCCCTATAAAAAATAATTTAAGATCCATTTATTTATTATTATATAATAAAAAATAAAATATAAAATTGTATAACTCTCTGGGACTTACTTATTTACAGTGCAATATTACAATTTAATATTATTGTCCTTTAATATTTTAATTCTATTTAATCCACCACCTTGTGACTATCACGTTTACCATATATTTGTTTTTTTGTCTCTTCTTGCTCTTAATTTCAAGAATTCAGTTACAAGTTTCTTCTTCGCAATTAATAAGAACGTTCCTTTTAGTCTTAGTTGTGTGTTGATTAAATGTTATTCGGTTCTTGTACAGAGGTGGTGGATTTCTTGATAAGGCGAGGCTGGCAGGTCTTAGCGAAGGATAACAAATATAGTCTCCTTCCCATTTTGACACTGAAAGTTAAACTTCCTTTACTGTTGACAAATTTTAATAATTATTATTATTAAATTTTATCACATTGGGACAAATCACGATTTTTAATAATAAATTCACAAAATTAAGTTTAATTCCACAAGAAAAATACACAATAATACAACATACCTAACATTTCTACATTTAATGGTTATGTATTATAATATATACGCACATGTGTGCGTATGAGTATATATATACATATATACATATATATACATATATAATATATTAGAAAAATCATGTAATTATCTAGTTTCTGTGGTTAATTGTGAGATTGATAATTTTACTCCAACACTGTTGGAATAATTTTTTATAACTTTTAAGCTAATCTATATATAATGACAAAAGATCTACATATTATTTTTATGAATTTTAAACATTAAAAACATACTCATTAGATATAGTTACAAATTTTGAAGATATCCGTTGAAACACATAGACGAAATGAAAGTACGAGAAATGGATAAAGAGATTTGTGGTATTAAGTAGTTGAATTACTAAGAAGATGTCTCTCGTAATGCTAGAAAGATATTAAGAATCTGAATTTAAGCAAATAATGGACTAATATATACATGTATGTATTGTTGGCAGAGACATTGGTCGGGTAATGCAAATAACCTTGCTGATTGCGCTATGCATTTTCCCTGAGTCATAGGTGCGCCAAGAACAGTGTTCGGTGTGTATGACATTACGAAATAAAATAAACGATTGCACGTAACTACTTAGAAACACTGTACAACGTGTAATTGAATACTTTATAAACAATAAGTAATAAAAATAATTGAAAAATCTTGGACATACCTGCATGCCTCGAGAGATGATTTTCACCCCGGCCTCTTCTACACACCCCACTTGGTGAAAAACATGGCGGGCTACTAAACTTCAACCTCCCCTTTCCTTTCCCTTCCTGTATACCGTATCTAGGAACTGGTCAAGTGCTGCTACCACGGAAGTAAGCACAATATATTCTCTGACTGACTAACAATTGACCAATACTCCTTTTCAAAAACTTTTACTTATTAACAATATTTTATTTTGTTTTTATTAATATAAAATTGCAAAATATTCTATTTCATTATTTATAAAATACCTCTAACTGAGTTATTCTTTTTAGTGTAAAATTTATTTAATCAACAGTTAACAAACTACAAAATAAAAATTTGTATTTCAGTAATGTGATCAATTGTTGCTTTCCTTCATTTTTTAATAATAATTTACACATAACCATCTGTGGGTATGTTAGGCCCACGTAAACTAGGGGAAATGGAGTGACTATATTCACCACGTGTACGTATGGACAACTCTTTATTAAGCACCTTTATTAGGCACGCTATCATGCTCTCGCGATAGTCGAACACATCTAAAAGTTTAGGCAAATCGTTGCGATAACTCTAGACTTTAGTCTTATGAGACCAACTTCATTCGAATGAATGCACATACGCAGAATAAGATTGGTTGGAATCAGAAAAATGCACTCAGTAAAAGAAATTTAAAGAATAAATATAAACAAGATTTATTTATTAAAATTATTATAATTTTAAAGAAAGCTTTAAAAAAAAATATAATAAATATAACAAAACCTTTAAAATAAAAATTCTTTTTTTATTCCATATAATAAAAAGTTGTATTCTAATTATAAAAATAAGAAAATAAGTAAATCAACTTAATAACAAAAAAAAACCAGAAAAATTTAAACTGCTATTATTTTAAACTATAAAGAAAACAAAAATTTCTAGATAAATTTTAAGGACAAAAAAAAGATTACCAAAAATCCATTCCTGGTAACTTTTATTTTATTTACTTACGAGACTATCAACTAATCGATTATAATTATTCATGAAAATAGTTGTTAAATCTTGATTATAAATATAAGAAAAGAATAATTAAAAAATATTCAATTTACCGTAAGATGTTAAAATATTGGTAGATGTAGAATTTATCGTGATCGTTGATTGGTACGTTTGAAAACTCGATTCCATGCAATACTCGAAAGTTACTATCGAAAGTATGAGGAATTAGGTTACCCTGAAGGTAGCCGACCGTAATATAAAAACGATCTTAGTGTCATCTGGTGTCCAGTCTGGCCTAATCGTGTTCGGTCGTGTCGTGATCGGATGAAACAATTCTTTGTCACTCTTTGATCTTTTCAAGATTTTTCATCAAATATCGATAGATTTGACATTTAAATTTCTATTATTTAATATGCCGAATCGTAAAGGTAATGTCAGTGATTTTTTTTAAGTGTGAGAAATTGTTCAATTTCAACATTTTACTTTGCGTTTTTACCGATTGTTACTTCGTTTTTCTTCTCCTTTGAAGAAGCCCAATGTTGGAAATGATGTGTTTCTTTTCGTTAGTTTGTTCATCCCAAAAAATGTGTTAATATCGTTATATACAAATCGACAATTTTTCTTGGAAAGTTATTTTCAGAATAATTATTTGTATTTTGAAAGGAACGATCAGAGCACTGTGTTTTGCAATTCATTCTAAAAAAGTTTATGCTTTGCGGTTTTGTGAGCATGTGTAAATATAACCGCTATGTGATTAATATAATGTGTTTCTTAATTCATGTTTTAATGTTTTCATCGCAAATAAAAATATGATAAGATTACTTTAATACGTTATTCATACACATTATACTACTTAATCATACATATACAGTTTGTTCAGTTATAGTGATTTAGTTTCTTTACAAGTTTAAGTTATACTAACATTTTCCTCTAGGAGACTAATATAAAATGTTAAAAATAGGAAAGATGGTGATGTTCATGTTAAAGAATATGCATTAAGTTGTGTTGTTTCTTTTTTGACATAACGTGCGTAAATATTCACAAGATCAAAACTGACTTTAGTAAACTGACAAATTTAATTAATTATCTTGAGAGTACTATTGAAGATTTTAATTAATCTGTTTTGATATCTATATTTGTTTTAAATGATCTATTTTGCTTGTTTCAGATAGTACTATTTTTGAAGCTCAAGAGATACCTTAGATATGAAACAATCTGAGATTGTTACAAGAAGGGATATAATATCGGAGATAAATGAAAAATATTGTTGGAAAAAGTGCAAAGAATGATAAACTTGTGATTAAGTGTGGTTTATATGGACAGTCAATGTGTTGTTGTAATATATCTGAATATCTATGGTATGAATTTCCATTTTAAAATTAATTCTGCATTGATATAAATATGACTCACTTAACTTGGAAGTAATATAAAATGATGGTAATCTGACAGTGACATAATCCATTAAAAATCAAATTGAGCCGATTCAGGTATCAAAGTCTCAGGAATCAAATAATGATATATTGAAAAAAATGTTGAAACATTTACGAGTAATCTTCTACATAATGCCAAATTTGCTTTGAAGCATTGAAGTGGAATTAAATTTGAGAAAGAAAGTTAATGAAATGTTTTTATATTGAAAGAAATGTTATAATACGTCAAAGAGGATGTGTAGAGCCCATAAGAAATTATGTTTTGTGATGATAGTATTGAACAAAATCATTTGTGTTTGTTTACCATATGTGACTGACACGAGATTCAATGTTAATATATTTTCCTATGGAAAAATCATTTCTTAATGCGTTTGCATCTATTACAAATTGGGTAATGCTTTGATTAGAAGCAAAAGAAGAAACCCGCTCTTGTTATATGGATAGTTGAAATATAGCAAGAATTTCTATTCGGTAAAGAATTGTGGAGGCTTATTTTGTTTACCAACTTTAAAATCTGTTAAACTATTAAGACAATATCGATGGCTGTAATAATTTAGTTTTCAGACAGCGTAGTAGTAGGCAATTCAATTTTCAGACACGAAAGGTACATAGAAGGAAATCCTAATGCTGAAAGGAGGCTTACCACCGTATCTCGACACTCGTAATGAGGATGATTCGTTTTATATGACACTCAGCAATGGACCTCATAGTAAGAGGAGATACATTTTCAATTTATTTTAGTCTTTAGGTTGTTTTTAACTCAACTAATTTATTGTATTGATTACAGCTTATGTAGCTGAGTCTACTAATACAGAACCTGAAAACTATATTCACAATTTCGAAGATGTATATTTTATAACACCAATTTTGTGTAAACACTGTACGTAGTACAAATATATTATAATATTACATGGTAGTACAAATAAAATTATATTAATCGTGTAATTACAATCTTATTTATATTACGTTTTAGGTGAAGATTATATTTGGGGTTCAGGAAAGGTTGGGGTGGCGTGTAAGGGTAAGTAACGTTTTTTATTTTGCATAAAATTAAATAATGAAAAGAACGAAAGTAGATGTACTGAGTTTCGTTCGTGTCAGTGTCAAGATATTTTAATATAAAAGTTTACAAATATGGCTGTCACGACGAAAAAGATAAGGAAGGTATGATGAAGACGAACTTACCATACATGGTATATTTTTTATACCTACAAAAGTTTCGATCGTTCAGCCACGTTAATAAGGTTAAAATTTCAATGAATGATTCGCAATATGCATCATATATATATATATATATATATATATATATATATATAATATGACATATATGATTATGTATTACATACCATATATAACATTGTATACCGAATAATCTCTTAAGTATATATTACGGTTAATATATTACTATGGACATTGTATAGGATGCCCAGAGGGTGTTGGTCAATCTATAAAATATACTTCAGTTGGCTGTGTTTAAATCACGGAGGGGTGGTGAAGCCTTTTTAATCACATAAGTGAAACAAATCATGGAAATTTAAAAATTTGTACACAATGTCATCAATAAGTTTCGGTCAATCATTAAAATATTCTTTAGTGGGGTGTATTAGAGTATGTATCTATATTACCTCCTTCTGCCCTTAGAACGTGGAAGTTAGAAAGATTAAGTTTGTATAGTCAGGTAGTTGAGAAAGCGCGTGCACAGTATGAAAAGTGAAGATCATTTCATAATCCTATGAGCAAAATCTATAGTTTGTACTTTAAACACGCCTCACACTGAAACATTTTATAAATTAACCGAAACTTGTTAATGACATTGTGTGTACACACTTTTAAATTTGTTTAATGTACAATGAACACAAAATCACTTCGTTCCACCCCCTTTGTGCTGTAAACACAACCAACTGAAGCACATTTTGTAAATTGGCCAGGCAATGCATGAAATACATACTCAATATATTTGTTACCCAATTTTAGAAGACAATCTATAGAATGTCCGGAATTTATACATTAACTGTAACATATGCATCACGATGAAGAAGGCAATCTTGTGAGAAGTTATAAAAGTGCATTCGCATTTTACTAATTTAGAGATTTTGTTGTTCTCTACATTATCGACGGTCTTAACGTTTCACGCCGACAATGCATAAGCTAGTACTCTGTGCATTTAATTCGGAGATCAGGATATAAGGTATACGATTGGTAATTGTGATTGATTCTACAGAAGATGATTTAGGGGACAGCACCATAGTATAGTAACATACATAGCCGTATCATTTTCGAGTGGCGCTCTATCGCGAGGAAGCACCTCTTACCCCGCGTATCTTTTTAACTCGGCTCGACAGTTTCTTTTCTAAAAGACCCCTCCCGTTCCTCTCTTCCTTAATCCCTTCCTCGGGCACTGGCATCGTACGATTCAGGGCCGTATCTTTGTTCATCGACATTTCCGTACGACCTCGACAAAATTTTAATCCGATCTCCCTCACCTTTCCTCCTCCTCCTCCTTATTTTCTTTTTC